GTCATAATGCCGTGTGCGGGTTTTATCTCGGCTTGTTAGAGAAATTGTTCCACATTTTTCCAACGGTTTTACCATTTTGTTAGTAGTTCAAAAAAGAGCATTATGATAAATAGACAGGTTTACCTGTTCGTCTATCAAATTGAAGAAATATCCTTTGGACAAGAACATTTTCGTAATATTTTTACTAACAGCTCAGCAAAAAAAAAAATGGCGTCAAGAAGATTGACTCTATACTTCCTTAGATGAGTCAAATCGTTTCAAAAGGCAAAATCGAATCGTGATTAGATAGGTTCACCTAGGTTCGATGATCTACGAGTATATAAACCAAATCTACCATATTTTTGTTTCCGTGCCGATGTAAGGAAAATATGTGTGACTTATTATCTTATTATGTCTAAGGTGCATAGTACCACTGAGATCAGCAGCTTCTTAATAATAGAACGTCTTTCACTAGCACCAAAGCTTTCTACCTATAATTTTCAACCCCTCCAAACAATGTCTGAAAATGAGCAGGAATCTCTAAAAACTGGTAATACTATGTCCCAGCGATTTTATTTCCGCCGCCTCGAATCAATTTTCTAATTCTACGACAACCTGAACGACGGAAGTGTTAAAGTGGCAATAATATTCGAACTTCGGTTCACAAGTTTTCTGTTGCTTGAAGATATCTGCACCACATAAGTCCGTCTTTCTCATTTATGTCGGTTTGTCAGTGCGTGATCTACTTGACGGAATATCCAGAGAAACATCATAGACGGAGTAACACAAATTAAAGGTTAGGCCAGATCAGTGATACATTTAAGGATCATAAAATTCAGAAAAATATAATTGAAGATATCAGAACAGTTAAGTCATCATTTACAAAAGAATCGCAGAACACTAAAGTGTTACGTACTCCTAACGATACCACCGCAGACCAGTTGGAATCTGTTACCTATTGCAGAGTCGGCAATGGCCTCCACGACAATGCTGCATCGCACCGTGCACGCAACGTCAACGATTGCAGTTATTTCAAATTATGAGTACATTTATGTTGCCTGTATTAATAGAGTAAATAAATATTACAGTACTCCTATTACTATATAACGGACTTTTATCATTTAATTTTCCCATTGTTACCGGGATCAGAAGTCTTGGACTAATACTAAAGACGTTACATTCATAACCCCCTATAACTCCCAATCTCCCAGTTTTCAACCCCTACAAAAACTTTTCCGAACTCAGAATCGGCAGGTTTACTGACTGATATTGACAAAGCGCACACGATGCGCACTCGGTTCTTACTTTAAAAATGGCCCTTGTATATTTTCCTTGGAATTACCCGACCAATTATACCTTTCAAATAATAAAACAACATGCGTTCATTTTGGTTGGCTATTGAATTATAACTGATAGCTGACTATCGATAACAATTTCCAGTAGTCCTTCTCCCCCTGCATCACATGGGAAATGGGAAATATACCTCACACAATTCGATTCATCGAAAATAGGGCGATTTTTTCCCAAAGAGCAATTTCAGTTTAATACACCACTCAGTCATTTCCAATTGTATCGCTTTGCCGCATTTTGGTTCCTATTAAATTGTGTTTTGGTACGGAAATACAAAAGGTCCTTTGGAGTGATATGGTTTTGCACTGTTTCATTTAGTAGTAGCAGCAGCACAGTTTTCAATATTTTTAAAACAATATGCAAACATATAGATATATCCCTATTGCGCATTCCTGAACGAAGTAAAAAAGTGCATATAAACATATGTCCTAAAAATTTTACTTTCCAAGATACACGATATACAAGGTCAAAGTTTCAAAAATGCAGTTTTATTGAAAGGGTGGAGCATAGGGATAAACCCTCAAATGCTGTACTTATAGAAAGATGCAATAAATTTCTTTCTATAGCTGAGAAGGCAGGAGCCTAAATAACGGGGCACCGCGGCTGCTAATTGTTCTTCAAGATAATTTTTTATCATTTTTTGAACTGCCTAGGATTAGTAGAGCTGGGAAAGGCTTCCTTAGGCAAATCGTACCAAAATCTCAATACCCCAGCAAGAAAGGAGCGGCAGTCCCAGCCAGTTCAGGATGTAAGAAGTTCGACACGATTAACGCGGCGAAATCATGGAAGAGCGCTCTGAGGAGCAAAGCCCGTTGACATAGCGGTAGATGACAGCCAGATTGCTGACATCGCGTCGGTGCGAAAGAGTTCCGAGACTTTCCGTCGATCAATCGGACAGCCCTACTCTGAATAGCATCGAGCATCGAAAATGTAGTTTGAGCGGCAGCACCTCAAATATGTGAGAAGGATTCTAGGCTTAGCCTTATCAGGGCCTTGTACAGAGTAAAATTGCTCAAAATAAAAAATGTAAGGTAATTGTTCTCACGTGTATTTATTTTGCATCGGATTGTAGTTTTATACATTTATATAAATGTAATGAAAATAGGACAAAAGAGTCATAAATATTTATATATCGAGCTTTATATCAGCGGCGCATCTATACTCTATAAATTTATATTTGCCATTGTTTCTATGTATTAAACATGCGTCAATATTCGGCAATGTTTGAAATGGAAACGTGATATATGGCAATTGCATAGATTTTTAGGGTGTGGACGATCCATATCTATTAAAAATAAAAAACTATTTATTTTGGGTGCAGTATTACGGTGAAGATTTAACAAAAATATGGATACCTTCTGTACTTTGTAACAGTTATGCAAAGATTTAGAACATGAGGCATACAGGGTGATCAAACTTAAAGTACAGCAATCTACTAGACTATTTTTCCATTATTTGTTGTAATGTCTTAATGTTACTTAAATCTCAAAGAACTTTGAAGCTGACTTAATGCCGATCGAAAGGCTGTCGTTGGGTGGTATTAAATACGATACAGGAATAAATCATCATCAAACTAAGGAAGAGGATCTGACAGCGACGACAGTCTCTCAAACCCAGATCTTTTTAAAAAACCAAAGAAAAAATAGGTTTCCTTTAAACCCGGTTTTTTTTGGCTTGGATCAGATTTATTTGGTTTAACCAATTTGCGTTCAAATACTGACTGAAACTAATAGACATTGAAAACATAATTTGTAATTGTATAGTTGCTTTTAGACAATTTTTAAAGAAATCAGCTATCCACCTGTTAAATAATATATAAATCTAATAGAAAAATTTGTAATATATTTATTTCAATTATATAATTTCACTTTCAGTCATCTTCATTATTTGAAGATGTATTAAATATTTTATATACGAAAACTAATTTCGAGGCCTTTTAGTACCCAGTCTGTTACATAGCTTACTTTGTATTAAGCCAAACGAAGAAAAAATTCTTTCTACACCTGCTGAAGTTGCTTGTGTGGTGTGTAGTTATTCAATGATAGCGATAACTTTATCATTTTTGCTCTATCAGTAGATTCTTCTTGCTCCTTCACCCCAATTGTCGTCACTTTTGAAACTGCGTTCAAAAGATTTCTCTGAAATTCTACAATTATTGGCAATATATCACATAAGGTCACTAAGGGCCAATTTCACCAAAAACAGTCCGTTATTCTCCCCCTATAGGGTAACAGACCATCAAATACAACGAATGAGCTTCAAGTTCCAATCAACAAATTTTAGCAACCAATAGCTATGAAATGTTGAAAACAAAATACTGTCAAAGTATGAGATGACAGCTTGTCATTGAAACATCACAAGCTTATTGAATATTAACAAATTACATATAATTCAGTCAAAATTTAAAGAAATGATTTTGTAATAAAATTCATGTTTTAATTACTATTGTTGATTTTTTATTCTTGTTTATATTATTTTATTCAACTGATATACGATACTGGGTGTTTTTTCCTATAAACCTCTTGCACCTACTTGATGACAGGCTCTACCAAAAGATATTGCTCGTTTCCAAACATTCATTCATTTACTTGCCGTTCATCAGAACCATTATGGCACCTTAGATTGATATTCCCACAAAACCATTCAGGTTTTTTTATATCCATACATCTAGTGATGTGCCGAGTCGCTGTTCTGATGGATCGAGTCGACTCGAGTCAGTTTATACGGTATTCGAATCATGACTCGATTCCCTGATTCGCGACCAGTACTCGAATTCTATGTTTGGTATTCGAATATTGACTCGAGTCCGGCTTGGCTCGAGTCTAGAAATTCGAGTCCAGAATTCGAATCTGAAAATTCTAGTCCAGAACAAGAGTCCGATTTTAGAACAAAAGGGAAAAATGAAAAGGAGTTAACTTCAAACAGCGTGTAGGTTAGGTTAAGCATAATGACACAACAATAATAAATCAATAATTTTGAATGAAAGATAATTATAAACATTAAATAACAACATAGAGCATAGGAGTTCTATGGAGATAAACAAAAAAACATAGAACATAGAACTTAGACTAGATATTATTATTTATTTATTAATAGAGACAACTTTAAGGAATCCTATACATCTAAACACTAGACATATATAGCAAGCATTAAAATCAAACCATTTTAATTTTGTAAAAGTAGGTACACGAACTCAACAGCTCAGAATATAACATTTGGGATGGTATTCAGATCCACCTAAGCAACCTAAACCGTACTGACAATACCGTACATAACTAAATGAATATATAAAAAAATAGAGATAAGAGAATAAAAGTTATTTGAAATAACTGTCCAAAAAAAGTATTTGGTAAACCTTCTTTTACTCCAGTCTATTGCGGCGTTGGTTGCATAAAAGACCAGCCTTAGAGAAAACTCGTTCCGGAGACACAGAAGTGGCTGGAATACATAAATGCTTCAAAGCTATTTTATAAAGGCCGCTGCTGGTGATTTTCCAAAGTTCCCAAAATTTCAGTTTATTGGCTTTTCTATCCAAATACGGTAGCTCTACGCCTCTACTGTTTCACCTTGATAACTCCCGATGTGGGGTTTTCCATGCTTGAAAATTCCAATACCCTTTTATCTAGATGCTCCCATAAATTCTCGCCAGTCACCTCTGAAGTTATCTGCTGTTAATCTGAAGATGAAGTTGTAGGTGTTTCGAGACGTGAAGTAGATGGCAGTAGACATCTATTTGGAGTATTTGGTACCTGGAATTGAGCTTGAGATTCCTGTGTTTCCAACATCATCAACTCGTCAACAACAAATTGTTGAGCATTATCTGTAGAAGTATCTTGAATTTTCGATTAAATGTAAATTATTAGCAAGAAACATTTTTTCACCACCACCGTCACCTGGGCTATGTACTGATTATGGAATTTGCGAACTAAAATACGCGTCCAAACCAGCGACATGTGAAGCCAGTATCCGAAGTACTCTCCGTCTTCCTCTTCGCTACCTTCCCCGCTAGCAGCTTTATGTGTGGCCGCACACTAAGTAAACAGTTTGCGAGTACGAGCGAGTTAACCAAACTCGAATACGAGACTCGAGTCAGCTGGACTCGCATAAATCGAATCGAGTTAGCGAGTACGAATCGATTCTTCATGACTCGAGTACCGGAATCGAGTCCGGCGTATTCGAATCAAAATAAATTGGTATTCGAGTAGGCGAGTTCTAAAGCAGGAATCGAGTCAAACCGTACTCGGCACATCGCTACATACATCCATAAAGGTGAATATTTTTCGTTGTTTAGGAACTGAACAAACATCTACACTATATTCACAGCGATTAAGAAATTCCCAAATACATATATGCCTTAAAGCTACCAGCAAACCTAAAACCTGCAAAAAAACTACAAATTTGCCATATTTTTCTTTTTTCACGAGTACACATTCTAGGTTATATTTATATTAGACATTATTTGAATACAGCTGATTATTGCATTTCAAGACTCATCGAGTGACACATGTGTGGGATCTGTCAACCCTTGGTCCCAGTCACAAAACATATACTCTGAAGAAGGTTTAATTCCATGCTATTCAATGACAACACGGTGACTTGTGTGGTTATCAGCGGCCATTTTGTGAGGGTGCGACATGGTTGCCAGATTGTGCATTAATACCCCGTTTCACCCCCCTGGTCCCAGTGGAGTGAGCTCCGCCAACTGTTGAAATATACTCTACTATGCTTTATAAGAGTATTCGTGGAATTTTTCCCAAAATCGTTGCACAACACTTGGAAACGCAAATGACGCCGGAAAATAGCTCCGTCGGTACCAAAAGTTATACAGTAAGGTGGTTCGATCGGATTCTATATTTAGAAGTATCAATACATTTCACGAGTATCGTCATCTTTCGATCCGGACTGTGTCAGAAAGAGTTACTGCCATTTGGCTGCGACATTACCCTGCCAAATCAGACATATCTTTCATCATTTTCAATGAAATTGTACAAAATCTTCAAATTTGTGATGTTAGCGAGTTTCACTTTATACGTTGTTACCAGATATGCCCAAATCATCAGTTGCTGCCGTGATATTCATCCCGACCTCTGCATCCCCACGGATAGGCGACCTGTATGTTTAATTTGTATTGATAGGGCAGCGGGTTATGCTATAAATCATATGTCACAGTTTTTGTGCACTGATTGCAACGGTTAGATGATACCAAAAATATTTTCATAAATAGGAGATCTTTCCCATTCCGGATCGAACAATCCACCAAAGATGCTTATAATCATGATACCTAGTAAGTTTACATGAAAAATCCTCTCTATGTAGGTATATAAGAGCTTTCTTATATTTGTTCATAAATTTGATGATACAACACATCTGCTAAAAATGATCATAATCAAGATAGTAAACTACGACGAAGGTCCACTGTATGTAAGAATTTTCAGATACTTCGTTTACAATTTGACAACAGACCATGACGGTGTTCACATTTTTCAAAAATTCTTCAAGAAATGTTATCATGTAAAAGATTCAAGTCGCACCCTTCATCACGGAACGTGATCGTCGTTAGACTTGGCAACCCTGCGAGTGACAGATAGATAACCCCACTAGTGAAAAAGGCATTCAAACAATAAATATTAATAGTTTTTATCATTTTTGGACTTAAAAGACATTATTTGTGAGACATTTTTCATAATTTTTTGTCTATGTCCATAGTAATTGCATTATGCATCACGGAGGTGTAGGTATTGACACGTCTTACACATTTTATCTGTGTTTTAGGATGGACAGGACAATGTTAATAAATGATTACTATATATGATGCAAAGGAAGATCAGGAATTGGATGGAATGTATTTTATATTCTATTTTCTTGCAAAATACAGACAAATCCACACTATTCAACAAGTATGTAATGATAACAGTATATTGAACTTAAATTCGAGATTGCCATGCATTAACAAACGTCCAAATCTGCTGCCAAATTTAACAGCTAGAAAATCGACCTATTATTTGCCGCATTCCCATTGGCTTTTGGGGATAACTGATTGTTAAATGTAAATTTATAACACAAATCAAAGTACATGAAAGTTGACCTGTTTTCTCTGTACAAAAGCATCATGTTGGAATCAAGAAGTGGTCTTGTTTATAATACAGTCGAATTTTCACGATTGTATTCAATATTTTAATAGAAATCACTGATATTCTGTGACCTTTGACAGTTTCTGTCAAATTGCATTTCGATAAGGTATTTTCCCATTGGTCCATAATATTAATGTTGGTGAAATAGGCTCTAAATCCGTTAAAAAGTGGTGCATTTAGGTACTGTAACAGTGAGATGTTTTTGACAACAGCTGATTGAACTGAAGAAAAATTTAATTAAATTACAAATAACGTTGATGGAAGGAATTTAGTTTTCTAAACAAGAAACAGCTGGTTTCAAACGTGGTTTAACCATGGATAAAACCAGTTTGGCTGAAACCTGCCAACCCTGAAAAACCGCAAAATATACGAACTTTATTTTTATTGTTACAATAGGCGTTTAGTTCTTCTTCATCATCAAAGATAAAGTAACATGACAACTGAACACGTTGCTATACGGAGACAAGAGATATACTTTGACAGATATTGTCAAATTTGGATATTAGGCATTTTTTGGCAACGATTTTTTGACAGTTCATTTGGTCAACTGAATTTGACAAATGCACACTATTTTGCTGTAACATGGCTATTGCTCTCAGTGGACTGCCCACCATGCGTATCGATTACCACTTTGCTTAATTCAAACCACTTTGAGATAAACTTTGTCTAACAATAGTATTATGTGAGTTTCTTCCTAGATAGGGGCATACATTAACTGCTGGAAGCAACTTCAATATCAGAAAGATGCACCTACGAGCCTTTTTGGATTGGGTCGTTTATCCGACGGTCGGATATCCGCTGAAACTCTAGTACCAACGCACCTAAAGGTTTCTGTGGCACTTCTCACCGTTTCTCTTCTTGCATTCTTTCGTTGGGAAGATAATCTGTGGACCGACATTGATAGTAGTGTATTAAAACTTTTAGCTTGGTGATAATCAAAAGTCAATACTTCGCCACCTGTTGATATTCCGCTAGTTTGCTTAATCATCAGTATCACATGGTTTTAACACGTTACCCAACTCCCTCCAACCGACCGGCGACAGCTCAATATGTTCCAGATAATATGGCAGTATCGGTTCCTTGACGGTCGATCACTCCCAGTCATAACTTGTAAATGACTATCCATGATTCATGATGAACGATGCGGTCACCGAACATGACATAATACTAGAAACCAGATGCCAAATCGATGCGAATTCTGTATCCCAAACATCGATAATTTGCCTGGCAGTGGCGTAGAGACCTGTAATCTAAAGGTACCTTTACACCAAAGAGTGGCTATATCAAGAGAAGGCAACAAGGCGAATACATTATAATAAGATAAGAGATGTATCCAAAAACATGGCATCCACAGAATAACAGATATCGTCTAAACACGCGCTGTTCTTATTTTGTCGGAGTAAAATGCGGTGTTGCCAGATACATAATCTTTTACGGATGAATTCATTGACCATCACTTGTAGTGAAAGCATTTTTTGTTCAAATTTACTTTTTTGCTAAATTATTCATGATGGGGATATTTATCACCAGTTAAACCGTTAAAAGAACTGTACTCCATTCTGCTCAGTATGAATTTGACGTTTTCTAAACAGTTTTCTATAATAGTTTGGCAACACCGTATCAGTACATGCAAAGCTTATAAGCTAAGTCACCTCTACAATGAATACGGGGATTAATCCCGTGTGGCATATAGGGGGCGAGTGAGGTGGTCGAGCTGAATCTCATCCGATCTCACGCGGTAGATAGGAAAATCACGACAAATATCACGAAATTTTCAACGCAAAAAATAGTGTAGAAGTGCGAGAAAATTGGGCGAACTTAGAGTAAAACATGCTTTTTGACTAAAATTCGATTGTTCAGCTCCCATTTAAGTTTATGTTAAATTTTATCATTGTGATCTTAGATTACGATCTAAGCAATCTTGAAAACTAGTATTCACTAGCTGCAAATAAGAGTAGTTAGACGAATTGTGTTGTATAAGTAAATCCAACACTAATCGACCTCCGGCTTGTGGGTCCAAACCTTCGCCTTAAAGGTTAACTCCGCGCCAGGAATGTTGCGTTGTGTGCTGTCTATGTCGTACCGTAGAATTGACCATGTGATGAAATAATCGAGCAACTAAATCTGACCATATTAAATCGTCAAAGTTTAACGATTTAGTCATCCACGATTGATCATATCGTGAAATAAGGTGTCCATAGAACATTTAATAAAAATCCAGAATGTCTCACGAACTCGTATATTGTTGTTCAAGACAACCATTTCGATTAAAATTAGTAACTTTAGGAAAATAAAATAATTATATTAATGCTAAATTGCACAAAGTGTCAATTTTTTTTTTAACATATTAGATATCACAAATTAAGTTATTTCACATATATAACCTAACAATGAAACAAAAACTACGATGAGTTTTATATAAGTAGAACAATGTTCAAGAGATAAACAAAATATTTGAGATGGTAGTTCGACTTCAAATAAATGAATAAGAGTGAAATACTAATCTGTGAATCGCGTTACACTGCGTTTTGACATTTTGTGATCGGTACTTGCGAGACCCCCTTAGTACTCGAGAATTCAAGTGAATTTTTTTGTGAAGTATTTCAATCTCACTTTCATCCTCATTTGGTGACGAGTTATTAGAATTTTCACTCCTGAAAACAACTTTGTTTTATAAACGAATATCGGTAATTAATGTAAATATGGTATTTTAAGATTTGATCAAACATGCGAAACATCTATTGCAGAAAGATGTATAAAGAGAAGTACTGTATCGATATGAAATAATAGGTAGAAGACATGCTAGTCAGTTAAGTAGGATCCGAAACCGATTTTTCTCTCAAGGCAATATTAATTCAATACTAAATTTTTACAGGAAGTTATGCTTCCCATATTTTTTTAACTAGGCTGTAAATGTCTGAAACATTCACATAATCTGAAATTAGATTTTTTCCGTAATGAAAATACTCGTGCTTCTCGGTGGTAAGTGGAGAGTTGTGAAAAAAGTCCGTAAAAAAGTTATAAATTCTAAGGTGGCCCTTTTTATAATTCGCTGGAGGTAAATTCGTACTTCATCCGTCGACCTGTGAGGTAAAAGTTGAGTAAATGACCGGATGAGGGCAGTCGTTAGTGAACGGCCTTTTGTGACAATGTTCTATGCTTGCATTCCTGACTAATTTGGAAAATGCATGGTTTAAGTTACCTTCGTTAAACGTTGCAATTTCGTTTGTTTTGAAACAAATTGTAAGGTGATTCAAAAGGCACTAGCAGTATTTCTGGAGCATGACGGACATACAAAATGCCATAAAAAATCATATGAATGTAGGTCTTGCCAAAATACAGGGTGTTGTAGATTTCTCTGCGACGGCACTGATTGTGGATAGAACAGATGATGTCGTGGTGAGATGACATTTGTTCCTAAAATAATCCATTTTCAATTTAGAATGGATTTAAGTATACGATCTCACCTCAAAAATATGCGAATCATTTATTAATTTAATTTGGAAGCCCTAAATCTTACCTGCAGTAAATCTTTCAGAAGAGTCTGTAGCGTAAAATACTCATCTTTCTTTCGACTGGTTTTTATAGCTACAGACTTCAAATTTGCTTTTAAACAGGTAAGCGGAAATTCTAGTTTGACTTAAAGTCCCTTGATCATACTCAAAAGACCGGTGGCGTGCTAAGTCAAAATTTCCAATTAAAACCTGATAGCACCACCCCTGGGGTATGTCAGTTGTATATAATCAGGACAAATTAAGTCCCTTAATGTCTAACGTCGGTTCATAGATCACTCAAGAAATTCAAGATAAATTAATGAGTACAAGTGATGTCTTTTAAGTTTTGCATATGGAAACAAAACAATACGGTAGGTAGTTTTAAATGACTTTATTGTTTTTCGAAGTATTCTGCACAAAGATTAATATAACCTGCATGCGCTTGAACCAATTTTCGAAGCACTTATTCCACTCGTTTGCTGGCAGATCCAAAACGGCATTTTTGAATGCGTCTACTGCTTCTTCTGGTGACTGGAACCTTTGACCACGCAGTCTGTTTTTAATTTTCGGGAAAGTAAAGAAATCGGTAGGATTTAGATCGGGACTATATGGAGGATGGTCCAATAATTCCACGATTTCTTCCGTTAAATACTGCCTTGTTTTTTGGGCGAGCTTGCATTGTCTTGGTGGAGGATGATTCTTCTTTCGGGGTTGATTTTTCGAAGCTCGGTGATGACTTTTGGCAAACAAATGGTAGTATACCAATCCGCAGTAACAGTTCTTTGCTCATTAAGAG